TAAGGAGGTATTGTTCACCGGCTGGCCGTCTTCAAATCTTGGAAACCAAGTCCAGTGGATATTTTTTGAATTTTTACGGAATGACTATGACCTGGATGACTGAGAACCTTCATCAGCATAACAATATAAAACCAATCATCAGTTCAAACAATTCTTAGTACATATTGACTGATAGTCCCCCCTTTTTCGGATGCTGATAATGATTATCTTCAAATCAGTCTTACCAATTCCTGATGTGTGCTGCTGATTTTAAGGGGCTTACGTTTTTGAAGCCATTATTGCTTTTTCATGGTACAATTATAACACATTTTTCTTAAAACTTGATTTAAACAAAAAAGGAACATTTAATGACAAGTGGAGGGAACGGTAGAGCAAGTGCTTCATATGGTCTCACAGCATGGCTGCATTCATTAATGCACAGAAATATATTGGCTGATCTGTCTATATAAAAAAAACCCTGCAGGTATGGGCCAAAAATATTGGCAGGCTGATGTATCGGTTTACCTCTACTTATTAGGGACATTTTGCAGCCACTTGACTTTTACAGCTGCTTTTTGTATCTATGCTTCTTTTTCTATGTCTGCTTCTGTCTCCTTGAACCCCAGTGGGCCTCAGCAGATGGCCGCTCACACTGAGCCTGGTTCTGCTGGAGGTTTCTTCCTGTTCAAAGGGAGTTTTTCCTCTCCACTGTCGCTACAAGCATGCTTAGTGTGAGGGATTGCTGAAGAGTCAATGAGTCGATGCAATCAGCTGGTTTTCCTTAGATAGAAAACTTTGAATCAATCTGACTGGATGATCTGGTTGATCTGGATCTATAAAGTGACCTGAGATGACATGATGTGAATTGGAGCTATAGAAAAACACTTATAATCCATATGTTGTGCCTTTAGCATTGTTTATATTTTCCCCATATTATCAATTTTACACATCAGTCGGAAAGAGAATCACAAGGAATAAAATGCATACTGTTAAAAGGAGAAAAAGAAAGAGCAGATACAGCTTGTTTAAGAGTGATGGTGGAAAGTAGGCCATATGCAAATAATTCCACAAGGAAACGTACAGAGGTGGGGGTCGATTGAGGTAAGGAGAGGGGGGTGGAGAGGGGTGGGGGATCTACTCCTGAGATGGTAAAGCAGGAAACTTCTGATGCTCAGCTTGGGGTCCATGCAGGTGGGTGGGATTCGTTTGGAGATGCTGTGTGGGTGGTTAGGGGAAGCGGGGGATGGCCACTGAAGCGCTCCGTTGAAGATTTGCAGTGAGAGACGAGGGAAGATTGACTTGACCTTTGGCTTCAAGGTGTCAAACTGGGGTCAATGTTACATCAGGGAATGGGTTGGAGCTCAGTGAACTCTAGTAACCCCTCCTGAGGCGACGGTGCCTCTTTGACAGCCTTGCTCCGCTGAGGATGCTAACTTTCTCTCCATCATCTCCCTAAACAAGATCTTTTTTCGGAGGTAATGGAAGCTTCTAATGTGGTACATGAAAGGCATGAGTGTTTCATCATTTCCCAATATAGAAACCCGGCACTTCATGTATTTTTATCTGCACAGGGGGATGTAAAGAACGTCCATAACATGGTGGGCTTCAACAAGCAGAGACTGAACTCTTTTAAATGAAAATAGCCTATTGTGTCCTTAAAAAGGAAAAAAAACAGACAATTCAACCAGAGTATCGCCTGCGGTTTCATCACCATCAAGGTGAAAGCAACTGAGAAAACATGTGCCCTGAATGCATGACATCATGATGCAACAGATGACTCAGATACAGCGAGGAAAACGTTCATCATGTGCAAACAATTATCAATTCATCACCATCAGAGCTGTTCGGAGGCATTAGTCACCGCATATGCTCCCACACCTAGCTACGCTATGATACAGCAAGACTTCATAGGCCAAACGTGTGTCATCAGCAGGGTGCTGAGGTAGTGAATGATGAATTCTCACTTCTAATGAAAAGTGTGCTTCCAGGTTTAGGACAGCTGCATAAAAGGAAAAAGGTATAACAAGGTGGGGAAGGCAAAGAAAAGACTTTCTGTTCTTGTAAAGCGCCTTATTATCTGCTCAAGGAGTTTGGAGAAGTGAGAGAAAGAAAAATGGTATCATCATCCATTAAAACATCTCCTGCCTTACTCTGCTTTTCATTATGAAAATTTAGAAAGTTCTTAAGACTCCCTGACTGCCAAAGCATTGCACTGAAAGTAGTTATAATGTGTGGTTACTGGTAAGTGATTTCTGATTGGGATGCATGGAGCATGGATCCTCTCCTTGGCCAATGCAGGTCATGGTTTAAAATCAGGACTCAAACATAAATGAGTCTATGTGGCTCTGTGTGTGTGTGTGTGTGTGTGTTTGGGGGGGGGTACAGATATTTCATAGAAAAAGTACAGCAATGTTGTGTTTCATTTTAAATAATCCTGCATAGAAGATATTTTCTCCTGAACCTTTACCAATGGGAACCATTTCAGTACAACAACAAAAAATAAAATCTGAAATGTGAGAAAAGTAATGGGCAGCCATTTTTAATAATATAAGAGTCCGCCTTTTTTCACTGAACCACAACAGACTGTTAGGATAATTATCACTGATGATGCGTGAGTTTATTACACCTTAATATTAGCTGCCTGTTGGGCGTCAGAAGGGATGTTTAATTATCATAGTTCCTCTATATACAGTTATAATCTTCATTCTGTACGTGGCAAAGATTTGGGAATGGAATGAGAACAATGTTTAATATTTTGATAAGGCTGGAGCCATGGATGTCTCCTCACCTGCTGACACGTTGGATGTAAAATGTGACGATATGGCAGACTGGAGACGTATAAAATGACTCTTTAACTGTCCAGGCCACTTCCATAGGGGTGAGCCCGGTGGGGGGGGGGGGGGGGGGGGGGGGAGGAGATTGCAGCTGCCTTCTGTAACTCTGAGCTACTTCTCTGATCTGAGTGAGATTATAATCTGTTGTCATGTCTCCTGGTTATTTAACACATATAAGTTATGAGGTGTTATTTAAAGCTACAGTGTGTAATTTTCAGCGACATCTAACGTCCAGACTGCAGCAACATGAACATCTCCCCCCCACCGCTTCTCCCCCCAACAGTACGGCGAGCGTTATGGGACAAAATGTCTTCCACGACGTCGGAATCACCTACCTTCTCAAGTGATGAGGTTTGTTTACATAGATAATTTTACAGATAGTATTTCATTAGTCTGTGTAGGGTATAGATTTCATGTAGACTTTAGATAATGAATATACCCGTTATTTTTTCTACATCGTTGTGACGTTTTGGTGAGCTGCTTTGCATGGTGATATAAACAGACGAAGTAATTGTAGTCATTAGTTTAACAGCGAGATTGTGTTCGCTGGAAGAATATATATTCCCCGTTTACAGAGTCCAAGTCTTGTTTGTGGCACGGGGGTTACAACGCGAGGAAGAGGGAGAGGAAGAGGGCAGAGAGGCCGGGGTGGGCGTGCAGCCAGGGCCAGGCGAGGGAGAGAGCAGAGGAGGAAAGGCTTGAAGATCTCCAAAGGAGCCGGAGAGAAGTAACCGAGGTATATATCCAGAAAATTATTTTACAGAAAATTACTGAATCATTACCTGTGAAACGTCAGGGACGTTGCTGAATAAGTATACTGGAGAGTAACAGCATCATCACGGAGCATGTTATTGTTTTAGACAGGTCTGAGCATCCTGTACTCCAAAAACTGCAGTGATATTAGCATTTGATAATATATTAAAACATCACATGTATTTGTCCTGTGTTTAATTTTCTCAGAGACTTATTGGGGAGATGACCCTGGAGGAGCACAGGGAGCTCACCACCCAGCTCCTGGAGAGGCAGCCAGGACTACTTTTTGATGCCCTGATGATGCATCAGCTCAGGCATGGTGCCCCACCGTTTACTGGTGTACAGGGAGTACCATGGTGTACTTGTGGTAACTGCAGGGACATGCCTACAGACCGGGAGAGGATATGCTGTGGCCAGGATCCAGCTCACTGTGTAAGCCGGCTACCTCACTTCTCCCAGTACTGCTTGGAAGAAGGTTTTTTACGTATTCATAGGCAGTACAGGGAGGAACTGACAGTATTTGGGCAAGTTAGGGGGCCTGGGGATGACAACCGGGAGTACCGTTATGCAGCATATAGGCATTTTATTTTCTGGCAACATGGCTCTTTAGGCCAGGGAAACCGTGTTGTCATCCCCAGCTGCTGTGTTTGGAGCATCAGGGACAAGTTCCCTGACCCCACTGGACATTACACAGGATTCATACCAGGCATCTGAGTATTCTCCCTGGCCCTCTGGCATGTCAATACAGGACCACAAGTGCTCACAAACCTGTGTGAACATCATCAGGGCATCAAAGCTATTTTTCCTTTTTTTGTGGTTAGACTTTACTATTTTTTATTATCTTTCAAAGTATGTTCTATTTTTTTCACTGCAACTTTGTCCAGGAATTATTTTGTATTAAATTATTTATTTGTGAAAGTTATTTGTTTTTGCAATTGTAAATAAAATCTAAAAAATTACATATACCTGTTGTATTTGTCAGTATATACATATAAGCATGGACCCATAGAAAAAGTACTTTCCTGTTATGTTTGTAAATGATAATTTGTAATTCAGGCTACACTAATGTACTTGTGTTATCACAGGGATCAGCTTTGTCCATGTAATTTTAACCCAAAAAGGAATCTACAAAAATAACTTATGTTGACACAGTTTATAATCTAAATAATTTCCAAGTTAAATATTTTGGCCATCTCTTCAAATCTTGACAATATAAATAGAAACATTGTACAATCATAAACCTGCAGTTTCTAGTGTATAAATAGTTGTAAACAGCTCATTTCATCTTCACCAGAACTGTCTTTGACAAAGTCAAAAAATAAAGTATAATTTCTTGTTTGAACTGAAAGCTAAATGCACCCTATCATCCTGTAGTTCTGCCTTCAACTCAAATTTGTATAAAAAATACAATAGCTATAAGAAAAACAGCGGATCACCAGCTATGCATCATTTATTTACTGCAGTGACATAGATATTTTCACTTGTGCAAAAGGGGAATATATTTCCCAGCAATATCTGTACACATCTGAACTCGTTCATTACAACTTTTTTTCATGTTGTATGAAGCAGGATGTCTGAATCACATATCATCAGGTGGACTGAAGACTGGTCCTGTTGGAGACAGTGTCATGATACAAGTAGTTAGTATAGTATTGCACTGATTTCTGTTTGTGGTCAACATCTTACTTCACTTGTCATGCAAGCTATACCCTAATATGCCACAATTGAGGCAAATAAATGTGTGTGACTTACCTAGACCTCTCCTGACTTGTGTTGGCACAAGTTCTGATGTGGCAGGTGCAGTTATGGGGGGCACCAAACCGAGCCTCCTGGGGTCATCTGGTCGAAGGCTCCGTCTTCGCGGCATCCCCACCTCAGTCACAAGTCTTCTTTTAAGAATTCGTTCCTGCAGCTCCGGGATATAGCTGTAGTTTTTTTCAGATTTCAGGGCATATACACTGTATCTTCTGGCGTTTTTGTTGTACAGCCTTCTGAAACTAATTAGACAGATTACAACACTTCAGAGTCAGTTTTTTTTCCCCCACAAAAGAAAAAAATAAATAAGCTCTTTTAAAAAAACATAGATTAAGAGTGTCAGTATGTGCTGTAGTTACTGGGAGTATTTAGTTGTAAGTTTATTAGACTTACATCTCTTTGCCTTCGGCTGTTTTCATTGTAGGTCGGTTCCGATGGAAGTTGTAGTCAAGAGCAGCCAGCAGAACTCTTGCCTCATAAACTGGGGGACTGAAAGCATGACGCTTGCTGGCATACATCAGAATATGGTTCTGGAATGCTTCTAGGTCAGCAGTTGATCTGATTGAACAGTAATTGTAAACTTCAGTGTTTGCAAAAACAACCACAGAATAGTATAATGTACACAATGTGATTTTGTGTGAAGCATTTAGATGCACTTTACCTGAAGCGTAGGTATTTATGAACATTCTTCTGCCAACGCTTATTGAGAATAATGTCTATTAAAGCTTTGTGGCATTTGGAGTCTCTCTGGATCCACTCCTTTCCATGCAGTTCTTCCAGATGTCCATGTTCGCATTTTCCTGTTTTCCATGTGTGAATGTTGCACACATGGTGGGTGATGCCAATCCATAGTGTCTGTGTAGAAAGTAGAAAAGCACTTTTTCATACACAAACTGTATCCTGAAATTCATTAAATATGTGTGCAAATTCTCATACACATATGCACTTACAAGAAAATGCTCAGTTGTGTCAGCCATCTTACAACACCACCAAAAATGGTTCACAATGTCTTTCAGCCAGACAAAGAGGGTTGATTGTCCTTTGATTTTTGCTGCCTTTAGCAGAAAAACAAAACATATATAAAAGGCAAATGACATAAGGTATTCAACCATATTACATGTAAGGGTAAAAGTAGACACATTTTAATGTTGAAGAATACACCTGATTGATTAGCTAACTTCAGTCATACTGTAGATGCCTATACAGTCATCACTTTATGATTAATGTAAATGATAAAATTTGAGCCATTTTTTAACTTACAGCTGCTATTTTTTTAGCCAGGTTTTTGGCACCATGCCACATGTCCAGACTGTGATGAATTCCAAGTGCCTTGTATTTGCCTTTATCTGGGTCTGCATAGTAGGGAAACATACAATATCACTACAGTATTCTAGTAATGTTTAAAACAAAGAAATTCATACACTTTATCAGATAAAGCCTTACTCATAAGGGCCCCAATCTGGGCATGAGCATCAGTGCAGACCTCTACAAGCTTTATCTCTGATGTTAGCTTGTCTACAGTCTGGATAAAGCCCTCCCTCTCCATGACAACAGAGTTCCAGGATGTGTGCCGCTTGTCAATGGTGGCAACATGAATGATCTCTTTGGTGTCATTCTCCATGGTGGTGTAGCTGCAGTACTGTGCACAGTGGCCTGGTGAGTCATTTCTTCCATCCGCTGAAAAAGTAACAAATACAAAAAGGCAAAAAATAAAATGATCAGCTGCTTACAATCACACTGTCCTTGTCTAATGTCTTTATTACTCGTTGAGCTATGTACCTAGAACAACAACATCTTTCCCTTGAAGGGAACTGAGGGCCTCACTCCTCCTCTCTTCCCAGAAGTCTTTTATGGTGTCAACACAGTAACTGTCCTGAATGGAGAAGAAGGTGTTCTTGTTCACCATCCCCATGTTCATAAATTTGAACAAAAGGGCAACCTTTGCATAGTTATTGCCAGACAGTAAAATGTTGGTGGACAAGAGAAAATCTCCTATTTGCATCCCAAACTTCATTTTTGCCTGGGAATTCCATCTCCACAAGCTGTGTCCTTTGGGACAGACCTAAAAGTCAAAGACATGCGAATAAATAAATAAATAAATAAATAATACTGGCTTCCACTAGAAAATTGTCATAGCTAGACAACCATAATCTTACGATGTGCCACAAGGGTCTAGACTTACCCATTCCACACTTATTGCTGTCCCCTTGGTAGCGATGTTTATCTCAAATGGGGCACTGCTGTTGCAAAACGTGCCAGTCTGAAGAAGAGCTGTACACTTATCCACCGGCAGGATCAGAAATGTGGCCAGTTGTTTCAAGCAGTCTTCATAAACTATTGCTGCTCTGGCACCGATGTCATCCTCACAGAGGACATGCAGTGGCTGTGGGAAAGCAGGTGCTTCATCACATGGTGGCTCATCAGGAGGGTCTTCACGTGCAGGCTGATCATGTACAGTTTCATCTAGTCCAATAACTGGAAGTTCATCAATTGATAGTCCTTTAAGTGCTCCACCCATTCTATTGAGACACATAATGAAAGCATGTGTGCAACAAATAATTTGACAAAAAAAAAACTATAATACCACACAACAGTTGCAGTACAAAGAATGAGTGATGACATACCGTATACAAATAGGTGGAAAATACTCTTCATCTGAGCTGTCATAATTCTTGCCATCATCACTTTTGGGATGAATGTTGGAAGAACCTTCATCTGTCCAATCGATTCTGTAAAGAAGGGAAAATTAGGGGGGAAAAGAAATAAATTAAAAATATAAAAATCGTTCACAGCACATTTAGAATAGTTAGAAAGTATCACTTACACACTATTCAACAGATCATTGAAAACATTTTCCCCCATCTCCTCCTCAACAATACTCATGTCCTGTAAGCTGTTAAAAAATAAAAAAAATACACCAATTATAAGTTTATAAAAGAAGATGACATAGCTCAAAGATGGTACAAGTTAGCTGTTACCTTTGCTCCAGGCTCTGAATTTCTGTAGCTCCTGCAATTACATCCAAATGCTCCTCTCTGTAAAGTATAATCACAGCATGTTTCTTTACACATATGGAGAGCGACGGTAAACACTACAGAAAGCTGACTCACTTGCTATTTTATTAGCATCAGAATCTTAGAGTAGCTTTATTTATTACTGAACCAATGTCACAATACAACAAAACTACAATCAGGTTATGAAGTGTGTTGGGACCACAATAGTTTCAGAGTGATGACTTGCCTTTCTGTGCCACTAGAAGCACCAATCGTTGACAGAGCTGGGGCTGTCACAAGAGAGGGTTTTCCCTTCATCGGAGTAGACGCTGAAGGACTTCTCTCATAGCTGTAGGACCAGTGACACATCTGAGGTTACAGAGTCACACACAGCTGTAATAATTGCTGTTACCGTACATAAGATGAAGCTGAGAGGAATGGCTTGCCTAGACTTACAATATTGAAATATACCTGTATACGTGATAAACAGCTATCAGATACAAGTGTTAGATAAATCCAGTGATAAGTCTGCTGCCTGGCACGTAGCTCGCTAATATGCAGCTTCATATATCTGTCCCTCTCACACTCACACACGCCACTATCAGCTGTGGTAATTTTATGAAGCTGTGGCCTTATCTAGGTAATGCTACCAGACATCTTGACAATAGTTTGGTTGAAACGGGATGTGGGGGTGGGGTATTACGTGTATAAAAAGACAATTGTGTGTGTAGGATTAATTACCTGTCCAAGAGAAAACTGGCAACTTGAGCGTCACTTTGAAAACCTTTTTCCTCCATCAGTGACTTCCATCGTGTAAATGCCGTGCCAATGTTGATCCGTGTTTTTTGCCGTTTCTTGTCACGCTTGAGTTTATTCTCGTCGTGTTTCCGCTTCTTAGATGACGGGGGTTCGGTGTCCGCCGCTTTTCGTTGTGATACAGAGTAGGCATGATCCTCCATTCGTCTGATGTTTGGCCACACAGTGCCAAACAGTTTGCCAAGTCACTCACGCCTGCCGCCTTGTTCACCTTTGTTGTTACTGAAGCGCCGTATACCTGCTTCTTCTTCTTCTTTGGTTTCAGGCAGACTAAACGCTTCTCAGGCATAATACTGCCATCTACTGTTCAGTACCATCTCAGTTCATCTCTCTCAACTTGCCGTAGTTATTTTCGAGCGTAATGGGAGATCTCGCAATCGCTAGTTTGTTGCCTCTGCGCTGCCGTAGAGCAAAGATGTCAGCCCCCATGGCTGCGCGACCCGCTCCTATGTAATTATAAATAACGAATTCTAAGGCAACGCAAATATTATGGTTAAAAGGCTGATCTCAAAGGTGATGATAAATAACATAGTTATGTATAATATATTACATTTCTGACTTTATATTCCTGTAAAAATTACACACTGTAGCTTTAAAGAGTTTTTCCCAACTGATCTCAGGAAAAATAACGGGAGAGAAAGCTCCAAGGTGTAGAAACAGAAAGCCTATTTTAACAGGACAAACATCTCATCATCTTTTTGACTTCTACTTTTCTCAGGCTGCAATCACTCAGTTAAATGTTGTTTCTTTAAAGCTACAGTGTGTAATTTTCAGCGACATCTAGCGGTCAGACTGCAGACCGCAGCAACATGAACATCTCCCCCCCAGCGCTTCTCCCCCCCAACAGTACGGCGAGCGTTACGGGACAAAATTTCTTCCACGACGTCCACATCACCTACCTTCTCAAGTGATGAGGTTTGTTTACATAGATAATTTTACAGATAGTATTTCATTAGTCTGAGTAGGGTATAGATTTCATGTAGACTTAAGATAATAAATATACCCGTTATTTTTTCTACATCGTTGTGACGTTTTGGTGAGCTGCTTTGCATGGTGATATAAACAGACGAAGTAATTGTAGTCATTAGTTTAACAGCGAGATTGTGTTCGCTGGAAGAATATATATTCCCCGTTTACAGAGTCCAAGTCTTGTTTGTGGCACGGGGGTTACAAGGCAAGGAAGAGGGAAAGGAAGAGGGCAGAGAGGCCGGGGTGAGCCTGCAGCTGGGGCCAGGCGAGAGAGGGGAGCCAGCGGGGTGAGAGCAGAGGAGGAAAGGCTTGAAGATCTCCAAAGGAGCCGGAGAGAAGTAACCGAGGTATATATCCAGAAAATTATTTTACAGAAAATTACTGAATCATTACCTATGAAACGTCAGGGACGTTGCTGAATAAGTATACTGGAGAGGAACAGCATCATCACGCCGCAGCATGTTATTGTTTTAGACAGGTCTGAGCATCCTGTACTCCAAAAACTGCAGTGATATTAGACAATTGTGTGTATAGGATTAATTACCTGTCCAAGAGAAAACTGGCAACTTGAGCGTCACTTTGAAAACCTTTTTCCTCCATCAGTGACTTCCATCGTGTAAATGCCGTGCCAATGTTGATCCGTGTTTTTTGTCGTTTCTTGTCACGCTTGCGTTTATTCTCGTCGTGTTTCCGCTTCTTAGATGACGGGGGTTCGGTGTCCGCCGCTTTTCGTTGTGATACAGAGTAGGCATGATCCTCCATTCGTCTGATGTTTGGCCACACAGTGCCAAACAGTTTGCAAAGTCACTCACGCCTGCCGCCTTGTTCACCTTTCTTGTTACTGAGGCGCAGTATACCTGCTTCTTCTTCTTCTTTGGTTTCAGGCAGACTAAACGCTTCTCAGGCCTAATACTGCCATCTACTGTTCAGTACCGTCTCAGTTAATCTCTCTCAACTTGCCGTAGTTATTTTCGAGCGTAATGGGAGATCTCGCAATCGCTAGTTTGTTGCCTCTGCGCTTGCCGTAGCGCAAAGATGTCAGCCTCCATGGCTGCGAGACCCGCTCCTATGTAATTATAAATAACGAATTCTAAGGCAACGCA